CCTGCCTGGCTGCTCGTTGTTCCTGCCAGCCTGCGAGATGAAATCTTTCAAGCATGCCACGACGACCAGACGGCTGGGCACCTTGGCTATAGCAGGACGCTCGCCCGGATTCGTGAAAATTACTATTGGCCGAGACTCCCGAAAACCGTCCATTTGTGTACATGGTCGTGCCATGAGTGCCAGCGACGTAAGAAGCTTCCGACGAAGCCAGCAGGACTCCTGTAGACGATATCTGCTTCGACTACGCGCTTCCAGCAGGTTGGAATGGATTTACTTGGACCGTTCCCACATCGACGCAAAGAAACCGTTGGATTATCGTCGCGACCGATTATCTTACACGATACGCCGAGACGAAAGCCCTTCCGTCGGGAACAGCGGTGGAAGTTGCCAAGTTTTTCGTCGAATCTATTCTCCTTCGACATGGCGCCCCCGAAGTCTTGATAACCGACCGAGGGTCATCGTTGTTGGCTCAGCTCACGCAAGAGATCCTTTGGCTCAGCTACACCAACCACCGTCGGACCACCGCGTACCATCCGCAGACCAACGGGCTAACGGAACGGCTCAACAAGACGATCGCCGACATGATCTCCATGTACGTCAACGTAGAGCGCAAAACGTGGGACGTGCACACACGCCTTCCTCCGCGACGACACCGTCCGCATGCCTTTTCAGCCGCCTTACAACGGACCCTACCGGGTTACCCGTCGCGACGAGAAAGATTTCACTCTACACGTAAACGGGAAGGACATCCTGGTTTCTATCGACCGGCTGAAGCCAGCTGTAGTAATCTCCTCTACACGGCGGTACGAAAGGAGAGGACGCTAACAGCACTCATATGATGTGGCCGGGTAGGGAGCCGCGGCCCCGCGCGTTCGGGGCTTACGAAGAATGAGACAAAGACATGTTGCCTGCTGGGTGTCCCGTAGTTCTCTGACGTCGCTAACGGACGGCGGCTCTTTTATTAACATATGTCACGTGACATCATAGATGCATAAACACACATAACAACAAGGTAAGACAACCCGATAAACTCACCATCAAAGCATACTAAACAGAACACACGTTGCGCCATCTGGTGGCAAAATCACTCATCACAGATCACTATACACTTCCCTCCTTAAAATTTTTAAAAAGAAACGGAGGGAAACAAAGCACAAAACACAATTCGAATTTCACCACAATAAAGACAACGCTCTCCCCTTGTCTGTTAAAAAAATTGTAACATATGGAACCGGGTATCGGATCACAGCGGCGTTCCTGGCAATGAGACGGCAGATCGTCTGGTCGAAGCTGAGCAGTACCGTAGCTCTTTTCATCCATGTCACCACAGTATGACAAAAACCATAGACAGTTTCTACATCAGATACAAACACAGTCTCCGATTCCCTATAGCCTACTTCGAGTTGCTACAGATTTGGAGTGAAGTTTGTTTGCCTTTGTTTTCCTGTTTTGATGTCCATGACACAGGTATAGTGTATGTTAGTAATTGTTAGTGGTTAGGTGTTGTCAAGGGTTGGTGTTTGTCATGGACATCTTTTTACCTTGGCCAAGGATACCTAAAGCATTTTCATTATTACATGCTATGACATAGTGCTATGTAAGGATGCAAAACAAAGACTCATTGAAGACATTTGGAGGAATATAAGAAACACATGGAAAGACATCTCCAAAAACAAGCTCTTGGACCCGAAGTCTACACTCCACACGGGAACTCCAAACAGTCTCCAAAACAACAACTATGCGTTAAACAATGTCGATAAATGAATTCTGTTCACTTTCCATATTTGAGTCATCTGAAGAAATGAAAGACATGACATTGTCTTTCAACTTTGCTGGGAGACGTTTCTTTCGTTGTGGTCATAGGGGAGTACTAGTAGCCAATTGGGTTGCCAAAGTCACTGACGGCTGGGATACGAAAAAAAAAATCACGGCTTGAAGGGTCGCACTGCACAACCACTGGGTCACAGGGTGCCTTTACCTGCTGGGGAGCCCCACTTGGTTCGCCAGGACTTGGTTCCTCTGGGGAAGCAGGCTGCACGGAATCTCCGAGCGCAGCCGGAGGCTCGGTGTCGGGCCACAGGGAACATCCAGGTTGCCCAGGCGTCGGCCCAGACTCGCCAGCCAGTGGAGATTGAGGAGGCCCAGGGTCAAAAGCACCGGGGACGAGCAGTGGCCCCGGATCAGGAACTGTATGACTTTCAGGTATACTGTGTGGAATACTATCATTTTGATCTATATATGGTGCGAGGACATTTGGAAGTGGAAGTGAAGGAATACAATTGGAGAGTTCACGAAAATCTTCCTCGTCCGAGTAGATGTCGGAATCTCCCTCACGAGGCCGTGCAGACGCCTTCGTCAATTTACTGGCATTCCAGGTCCTTCCATCATCGAGCCTGTACGTGGCTGATCCCAGCTGTGCTTCAACCCTTTTCGACTGTGTATACCTTGATTGAAGTTTGCCACGATGTGTGGGCTTGAACACGCGCACGGCTTGACCGGCGGAGAACTGTGGCCGTTTGGCAGCCTTCCGGTGATCCCAATATGACTTCATGTTTTGTTGATAACTTTGAACCCTCTCGGGAAGAAGAGCACGTTGTTGTAAAACGAAATCAGGAACCTGCCTTGTAGGCATCCCTTGGAGGTTTAGTTTAGACCGGTGGATCCGGCCATGCAATAAAAGTGAAGGGGCAAACCCCGTCGCAGGATGTACCGTACGGCGGTACACTTCGAGATGGTCTCGAACAGCGTCTATAAGAGGACGGCCTTGAACTATAGCTGCCTGAAGGCACGTCTTGACAACACGGTTAAATCTCTCCACCTGACCGTTACATTGTGGATGATACAAGGACGTTTTCAAATGTTTTATGCCATTTTCACTAAGGAAGTCTTGAAATTCTTTGGACATAAACTGTACCCCGTTGTCTGTAACAAGCTCACAGGGAAGTCCTTCATGAGCAAACACATTTCTCAAAAAGGAAATGACAGTTGAAGACGTTACTGCTGCGGCAGATTGCACCTCAGGCCACTTCGAATGATAATCTATCAAGACAATGAAAAACCGTTGACTCTGTGGCGCCCTGTCGATAGGGCCTACGATATCGACAGCAAGTTTTTCCCAAGGCTGGTCGGGGAACTTTATGGGCTGCAACGGAGCGGGTGCGGCCTTTACAGGTTTATCAGTCGAATGACACACCGTACAATTTTCCACTTTTGTTTTGATCTCCTGGTTCATGCGGGGCCACCAATAGTGTTCACGTATGAGGCTTGTTGTTCGTGATATTCCTTGGTGTGTCTCGTGTGCAAAATGGATGATGTTGTCACGGAGTGTTGATGGCGGCACGAGCCTTTCTCCACGATACAAGATACCTTCATACAGTGAAAGTTGCTCACGCACTTGAAACAACGGTCGCAAGTCGGTGTGGATGTCATTACCCTCCGGCCAGGACGTGGTAGTGTACCGGATTACAGATGGAAGGATAGTGTCATTAGCCGTAGCCTGTTGAAATGCGAGTTTGGACATGGGGACTGTGATAAGAGAAACGACCTCCTCGGTAAATTCCATACCATTCTCCGTGTCGTTAACGGGTAGCCGTGAAAAAGCATCGGCAACCAGGTTCGCAGATCCCTTCTGATATTCAATAGTGAAATTATAATTAAGCAGTCTGGCTGTCCACCGGGTGATCCTCAAAGGGCGGATCCCAGACCCCTTGCTAGAAAGCAGGGCGACTAGAGCTTGGTGGTCTGTTCGTATCACAAAGGACCGACCCCACAGATACACATGCCACCTCTCACAGGCTTACAAACAGGCCAGCGCCTCCTTTTCACCTGTTGAATACCTCCGCTCGGCATCAGTCAACGAGCGCGAAGCGAAAGCAACAGGACGCAGTTGACTTCCGTACTGTTGTTGTAACACAGCCCCAAGACCATAGTTACATGCATCCGTAGCCAAAACGATAGGAAGTGTTGGATCAAACATCGACAAAATCGGAGCACTTTTTATGGAAGCCTTTACATTTTGGAAACTGGCCTCGGCTTCCGGGGACCAGTGAAAGCGAACTCCTTTACGGAGAAGACGACGCATGGGCTCTACGACAGTTGAGCAATGAGGGATAAATTTACTGTAATATTCAACAAGTCCCAGAAATGCTTTCAGCTTTGCTGGTTCGGTAGGGGTTTCAAAATTCAGGACTGCATCTACCTTAGCGGAAAGGGGTGCTAGTCCTTCCGCGGAAAGATGGTGTCCCAGAAACGAAAGTTCTGTAACTCGAAAAACACCTTTACGAATTAGCTTCATCCCGGCTCGGGAGATACAAGAGAGGACCTGACGCAGATTCTCGTCGTGTTCTGCCTGCGTAGCACCGTAGACTATTATATCATCAAGGTAAAACTGGACTCCTTTGCAATCCTTCAGGATTATGAACATGATGTTTTGAAACGCTGCAGGTGCCGAAGCCAACCCGAAACAAAGCGCTTGAATCTGAACAGTCCCTCATGCGTGATAAAAGCGGTGAAATCACGACTCACCGGGTCGAGACGAACTTGGTGGTAAGCGGACGCCAGGTCCAGCTTGGAGAAGCAACTGGCACCACGCAAGGAACCCAGTAGTTCATCGATGTGGGGTAGCGGGAAAAAATCGATGACTGCCGCTTGATTTGGCGTACGGAGGTCAACACACATCCGGATACGTCCGTCAGTCCGCCGAACGACGACGATAGGTGAAACCCACTCGGAGGCATCCACTCTCTCGATCACACCTTCTCTCTCTAGTCTGAAAATCTCTTCCGAGACAGTATTCCTCAGGGTCATCGGAAGACGGCGCAGCTTGGACTGTACCGGTGGCACGTTGCAACGCTGCTTGATAGTATGGGTGGAATTCTTGACCAAACCCAAACCTGGACTAAAGAGATGTTCAAATTCTTCGAAACCTTTGGGCAACTTGGACTGATCTGGAAGGAAAGGACTTGAAACTTGAGATGCATTTGTATTTTCATGATGTAGCAGTTGTGCTGTGATTTCATGGCTTGTATTCTCAGGACTTGTGTTTTCAGGAAGATGTGGTTGATGGAGCCCATGGCTCTCAGGATGGCGTCGCGGAATCGCGGCTGTCGACGAATCGTGGTCAAAGTCCGCGGGAACTTTCGGAGTGGTCTCTTCCGAGACCGATGACGATGTAGACACGTTGGCACCCGAAGGTACAAAAGAAGATGACCGGGACCTTGCATCTCTGGATCCGGCCGGTTGGCGGTTTTGGCAGGACGTGATGGTGAACGGCCGTCGCTGCAGGGGGACCGCCGACTTCACATACTGCCGTGGAACTCCTCCTCCCTGAGCTGCATCAACATGCGAACAAACATAATCATTTTCATCTCCTGATAATCTCATGCGCAACGCTCGGACGGCGTCGACGCCAAGTAGCGATCGTCCAGTCCGGGTGACAAAAAACTCCAACGGTGCATAACGATCCTTAAAAACAACTTGAGCGGTGAAGCATCCAAGCACAGGGATAGTGTCTTGCATGTAGTGAACAAGAGTTTTCGAGGGCGGACATAGTAGAATGTCGGAACTCCGTTGTACTTCATTAAACTTTCGTTCATTCAGAATGGACACAAAAGAGCCAGTGTCGACAAGGAGACGAAGAGGGGTTGTATTTACCTTGATGTCGGCCATGAAGGCATCCCGACGATAAACACCTCTTGCTGCTTGCTCGGCCGACTCAACGGGGACGCTCGGCAGCATCTCCGGCACCAGGGATGGCCCAACAATGTTCACAGGATCGTTACCTCCTGACGGCACATTCCGTGAAAACGGTCGGGCAGCGAAGTAACGGCCGGAGCCTTGGCCACGGCTCGGGAACGACGTTCGCCGCGGGTCACTGACGAAGGCCGCCGACGGTGGGCGGCGGCTCTGACAAACCACCGCAAAGTGGCCCGTCTTTCCACACAAAAAACATGCCACACCAGACGCTGGACACTCGTTGCGGTTGTGGCCGCGTCGACCACAGAAGTTGCAGGGAACACCGACTCCTTCATCTCCGTGCCTTGAAGGAGGAGGGTAGCGCAGACGCTGGGGTGGGTGGTGTTGTAAAGTCCGGGGCACGTGACTGGAAGTGACGCCGGACCGGCCATCTTGCCACCGACTTCGGGAAGGAGCCGGCCATGGACCTCCATCTTGGACGTCCGGCGTTCCAATGGGCACGTGCGCAAAGACGCGCTCAACGGCTGCCGGCGCCGCACCGCTAGCACTGGGAGCTCGCAGGTGGAAGCTTTCTGTGGTGCGCGCAAGATGCTCGTACTGCAGCGCGAGCTGAACGACACGGGTTAAAGTGGGTACCCCCGTCCCCACACACTCTCGAAGGATGCGGTCTTGGACCCGCTCAGAGTCCAACCCCTCCAAAAAGACCTCAGCAAGCCTATCTTCCAAAGCGTCTCCATAAGAACAAAAAGACCCTTGGCGTCGCAGAGCGGTTAAGTACTCCGAGACGGTTTCTCCCGGGCGTTGGACGCGAGCGCGAAGCTTTTGGCGTTCCAGCGCGATAAACCCAGAAAACTCAAAGTGCTTCTCGATAGCACTCAAAAAGACTTCAAAAACATCGCCTTCCTCGGAAGCGGGAGTCTCATCGAGCTGAAAAGCGTCAACAATTCTCTGGCCCTCAGCCCCAAGCATGGAAAACAAGATCGCCTTTTTTCGACTAGGCGCAACACTGTCCAAGCCGGACGCCTCAAGGAACACCAAGAAAGCACGTTTCCACGCGGGCCATGCACGCTCGGGCTTGCCCGGAACTGGCAAGAAGTCGGGCGGTGATGGAACCGGCGCGAGCGCTGACGTGCCGGCAGCTATAGGAGGCTGTGTTCCATTATCCATTATATATATGTTGTAGAAGGTTGTAGGAAACGATGCAAAAACAGTGCAAACTCACATCTTACGTTGTCACGAGACGCATGCTGAAGGGAAGCAGCTGTCAGGGCCCATTCTGACTAGCCATGGAACGTGTTCCAAGTGAAACGAAATGGATCGAAGAAGAAAAAAAAATCGCGTCGGCTCTCACGGCCAGTGCACCGAGACGCGGAGAGAACTACGGTTAACCACCTCGTCGCCAAAATTTGTAGTAATCTCCTCTACACGGCGGTACGAAAGGAGAGGACGCTAACAGCACTCACATGATGTGGCCGGGTAGGAAGCCGCGGCCCCGCGCGTTCGGGGCTTACGAAGAATGAGACAAAGACATGTTGCCTGCTGGGTGTCCCGTAGTTCTCTGACGTCGCTAACGGACGGCGGCTCTTTTATTAACTGATGTCACGTGACATCATAGATGCATAAACACATATAACAACAAGATAAGACAACCCGATAAACTCACCATCAAAGCATACTAAACAGAACACACGTTGCGCCATCTGGTGGCAAAATCACTTATCACAGATCACTACACCATCATATATCCTTTCTGACGAATAAAAAAACCCGAGTGCATCCTGAAGCGTCCAGCCACAACCCCCGACACCGCAGCCCGCGCCAGTTACTACACGTTGTGGACGTCAAATACGCTTCCCGGATTTTTACAAGCCCTGGGGGCTCTCCACTCCGCGAGGGGGTTATGTGGCGACGCACAATCACCAACATTTTGGCGCACTACAACCTCGTCGTCGATGCTTCGGGGCAGCACGGCCGCGCGCGACACAGGCACGCGGGGCAAAGGAACGTCCGTCGACCGCCGCCGCCGAGGAAATAAAACCGCCGTTCCTTTTTCTATGTTGGGATTCGCTCGTCACCACGACACAGCACGACACGTCACGTTCGCCTACAATATACCGCAGCTCAAGATACAACCGGGTTTACAGCATTCGAGCTGGTGCATGGCACAAAAGTGACGACCATGCTGGACACGATGCTGCCCCATGAGCCAGTGGATGACGGATGCGACGATGCCCATGCAGTCAAGCGTGTTTCACATGTAGCGGTTTTGGCCCTAGAGCGGCGCGATTTCTGCCGTCGCGGCGCTCTGACTAGCAGCAGCGGTTGAGCGGCACGAGCGCCGCGACGGCAGAAATCGAGCCGCTCTAGGGCCAAAATCGGTGCATGTGAAACACGTGTACTTATTATGTTTACGGCCGTCTTTCATTCAGAGATGGCACCACCTACAATGCGCCGATTGCACGTGTCACGTGTTGTATAAAACCACGGGCCGCGTGGCGGCGAGACATGATTCGGCCACCAAAAATATGATAAATAAATCTGCTCGACGCGCTCGCCTCAGATCTGCCCTCGTCACCGTCAAGATCGGTTGCCTGTCGTCTCGTTCTCCAGCAGTCAACCATGTACTGCGGCCGCAAGCGCGAGTGGGTCCTCAACAGCGTCGTGACGTTCCTCCTTCACGAATGGGCAAACGAGCAGGCGGCCCCGACCTCTGCTGGTTTTGTGGACGTTGCAACCATGCGCGTAACGTCTGTCCGGCACTCCACGCCCAGTGCTTCCGTTGCTTGAAGATGGGCCACTTCGCCGCTGTTTGTAGGAGTCGCCAACCACCGTCAGATTCCTTCGTATATGATCAACGACAGGCGTCCCTTTCATCCCGGGGCCACGCCCATGGACGTCAACACGGCCCTTCACCTCCGTGGAGATCCGGCCCAGTCACGGTTGGAGTGCACGGCGACTGCGACTACCAGTATAACGTCACGTCCGTCGACGACTCCCCTGTGCGGACCTTGGAGGGACCTGTAGTCGACCGAAGCCGACTAAATGCCTTCATCGCTGATGTACAGGTAAATGGACTACCTTTAAAGCTCCTGATTGACACCGGATCCCACGTCTCGATTTTAAACGCGAGAATTTTTAATGAAGTTAATCGCTCCGGACATATTCAGTTACATCCACCTGCACGTAGACTTGTTCACTACATGCATAAAACCATTCCTGTCCTTGGAAGCTTCACTGGCCAAGTCTTTTTTAAGAACCGTTTTGCACCACTGGAGTTCTATGTCTGTCAAAATGGACGTTCCTTACTCGGCATCGATGCTGTGCGCGAGTTGCAAATTACCCTGTCGGGAGCTGATCACAGCTGCTCTTATGTCAACGCAGCTGACGGAAGACCGGACCCCCAGCAGGATGTGACGTCGGTTAAAGTTCCACAGCGCCGGCCGTTCACTGTTTCGTCCCGCCAACCACCGCACCAGCCAAGTTCGTCAGATGTCCCCGGCATCCTGTTGTCTTCACAACCGGGTGTTAACCTATCACAGGCACATATGTCACCCGAAAAGCAAGTGGACCCAGAAGTTTCATCAAGAACCTCACAGTCGACAGCTGTTGCGCACTCCGCATCTTCGACTTCGCGGGACGTATCGCGGCTTCCTCCCGGGTTCGAAGACTTCCAGCATCTTTTTAGCCGGAGCTGGGTTTGGTGCACAATCACACCCATACCGTCAAGGTGCGGTACAACGTGCCACCTGTTCAATCTAAATTACGTCGGTTGCCCATCACGTTGCGTGATGCGGTATCTGAAGAAATTTTCAGGCTGGAACATCAAGCAATCATTGAGCGGGTCAATGCGTCTGAGTGGGTCTCGCCCATTGTTGTGGTTAGGAAACAAGATGGCAGTATTCGTCTGTGCGTGGACCTACGTGCGCCGAACCAGGCCATCGTTTTCGACTCTTTTGCTTTACCACATATCGAAGAACTATTGAACTCCTTGCAAGGAGCCTCCCACTTTTCTAAGTAGGACCTGGCCTCAGCTTACCACCAAATCCGGCTTGCCCCGAAAAGGAGGGATTTGACCGCTTTCATCACTCATGAAGGCCTTTTTCGATTTAAAAGAGTCTGTTTTGGACTGGGTTCAGCACCTGCGGCCTTTCAAGACATCATGTCCAAGGTTTTGAGGAACTTCAAAGGTGTCCGATTTTATCTCGATGACATCATAGTGTATGGCTCGTCGCAGAGAGAACATGACGAAAACCTACGAGAGGTATTGTCCTGCATCTCACGCGCAGAGATGAAGCTGAACCGTAATGGTGTTTTCAGGGTTCAAGAACTATCGTACTTAGGACACCGTCTTTCCACGGAAGGGCTAGCTCCTCTCCCGTCTAAGGTAGACGATGTTCAAAACTTTGAGTCTCCTTCTGATCCATCGAAGCTTAAGGCTTTCTTAGGACTTGTGGAGTACTACAACAAGTTTATTCCGCATTGTTCCACTCTAGTAGAGCCGCTTCGTCGATTACTTCGCAAGGACGTTCCTTTTGTCTGGTCCCCAGAAGTAGAAGCCAGCTTCCGGAAAGTAAAGGGGTGCCTTAAAAACGCACCAATTCTCTCTCTTTTTGATCCGACGCTTCCAGTCGTGGTATCCACTGACGCTTCCATGTATGGGTTGGCTGCCGTGTTGCAACAGCAGATAGGAAACCAACTACGGACAATAGCTTTTGCCTCACGCTCAACTACTAACGCTGAGCGCATGTATTCCACCGCAGAAAAAGAGGCACTGGCATGCCTCTGGGCCTGCGAAAAATGGCATGTTTACCTTTGGGGTCTTTGCCCGCGAGGGTCTTCCTCGCGAAATAGTTTCGGACAACGGCGTCCAGTTTGTTTCACACGAGTTTCAAGGATTTCTACACCAGCATGGAATTAAGCATACCAAAACATCTTATATCACCCTCAAGCAAATAGCCAAGTGGAACGGTTTAATCGAGTATTAAAGTCATGTCTTCAGCTAGCCGTCGTACAAGGACGCCCTCTGCCGGATGCTGTCCGGGACTACCTGGAAGCTTACCGACGAACTCCCCACTCGGCAACAGGCCAAGCACCTTCCCTACTGCTTCATGGACGGACCCATAGGTCCAAGTTAGACATTCAAGGGATGTCGACCCCCGAAGCTCCGGCTGTCTCGTCAAGCCGGACTGATCTTCATGCGAGAGCGCGTAGTTACCAACAGAACATGAAGTCGTACTCGGACCCTCGAAGGGCTGTTCGGTGGCCGAGGTTAGTCGCTGGCCAAGCAGTCCGGATTTATCTACCACAACACAATAATAAATTGCAAACTAAGTATTCAACACCACAAGTTATTCAAACTCAAGTGGGCCCGGCCACTAACAAATTCGCTGACGGGCGAATATGGAACGCCGACAAATTAACAAGAGCGTTCATTCCACCAGAGCAGCAGGATGCAGATCTTTCCTGGGATGATGAAGATGAAAACGAACCTGCTCCGATAACACACCATTCTCCGTTGGGCAACCCTACTGTCACGGCTCCACCCGATCCTGTCTGCAGTCCAGCTACAAGTAGGGCTAGTTGCAGCTCTGAACCTGCTGTGCCAGGTTCATCCCCGCAGGTGCGTTCGTCTAACTCTCAATTGAGCAGTCCTGTGTTCCCAAGTCTCGAGGTTCAAGATCCTCTTCAACCGTTCATCCCGATGGCGACCAGCAGCCCCGCTGTATCTAATCCGGGAACACCTTCCTCAATGCCTCCCCTTGAAGAGAGCGTGAACGGTAGTAGTACTCACCCCTGCGGCCCGGAAGCAACCGTGACTACGCCAACTCAACTCTAAAGTCGGCCAGTTCGTGAAAGAAGACTTCCACAGCGACTGAAGGACTACGTGTTTTCATTTTGTGGAAACAGTAATCTGTTTTCTTCATCTGGCAATTATCATGTGCAATGAACTGAAGCGACTTTTTTATTTTTAATGTCGCCTCTCACGAACTGACTATTTTGCACTGTAGTGGGACTTTCCACGCGGTTGTGCCTGAACTGAACAGTTTTGTGCCCAGCTTAATGTAGTAACGATGCCTGTTTTTTTTGTTTGTTTGTTTGTTTTTTCTTGTCTAGTGTATCATAGACAATTTACTAAGTGTGTCGGTTTTGAACAGTTGGAATTGTCTGTGTTACCGCTGCACTGTTTTTTTTTCATGGAGGGGAGATTGATTAATTATTCATATACGCTCTAAAAAATATTTTTTTTTTATATACTATGTGCAGGTATTTTTGTTACTACGATTCTGTAAATATGTCGTCTTCCTTTTAGGTTTCTTTTTTTATAAGGGGAGGAGAATGTAGTGATTATGTTTACGGCCGTTTTTCATTCAGAGATGGCACCACCTACAAAGCGCCGATTGCACGTGTCACGTATTGTATAAAACAACGGGCCGCGTGGCGGCAAGACACGATTCGGCCACCAAAA